GAATGGTGCCTGAACAGCTGGAAATCATCAGCATGAACCAAACAGGGAGGAGAAATAAAGGTGGGTGGGGAGAAGAGGGAAAGAAAGAAAGAAAGAAAGAAAGAAAGAAAGAAAAAGAAATGGACAGTGGGATGCATTAGATGTAGATTGTAAAAGCAGTGAGCAGGATATTTGGGTTTGATTTAATAGTAGTAATAAAACAATCATGTGGCTTCGGTGATTCAGAATCATCTGGAAGGATGTTTGATTGGGCTTTTAATCCTATTCAGTTTGTCAGCATAAAAATGGATTAAATGACAACTGGATTTTGATGAAGAACCAAAAAGAAGAATGTGACAGAAATTGTTGTTATTGCTATTATCATTTTTATAAACTGCAATTGTATTTACAATTGTATGCAACTGTACTTTTGCCTATACTTTTTATTTATGCTTTTACGGTTTGTTTGTTTTTTTCCCTGTCATATTTGTCTGTTTTCATTCTTTTCCTAATCTTTTCCTAATGAGTCCTTTTGTTCGATTTGTTGTTGGAGATCTACCCTGTAAATCAAATAAACTACAAGCTAGAAAATCATGCAAAAAAAAAACAAACAAAAAAAAACATTAGAAACATAGAAACATACAAAAAACATGCAAAAAAAAAAACTTTTTTTAAACACTAAACTTTATGTTCCATAGTATGTATCACATAGTTGTCATTCACACACACACACACACACACACATATCATACATTATATAATTAAATTAGTTACAACAACATATATAATAACATTAACATTTAGGTACAGATGAGTACAGGAACAGAAAGAATAGGAACAGCAGCGAACTGAAGCAAAGCAGGGTAAGATTTCTGTTTACAAAAGTCTGCTCCAGTAATTCACCTCAAATATTTGTCTCATCCTCTGAGCAATTATTAGTAAATTAAACGTGAACATAATAAAACCTGTCTCTGCCTCCCCCACATTTTTAAAGACAGGGCGTCTTTAATGGCATAATTAATTAGCAGGCTGGAGCTCAAAACACACATTTTCATTGTGGTCGAATAATATTCCTAAATTTCATTTTGACATGGTCATTCGGGGGTTATAGTTCTGGCGACAATGAGAAAGAAAAGGACCATAAATCAGTCACCTCCCTTTCCAGCAGCTCTGTCAGTTAGCAGCTTTTGTTACCTATACCTGTAAGCTGAATCCATTCCTTACAGGCAGCAGGGGTGAAAATGAATCGTCCCTAAGGATCTTCAGTGGGTTTTTTAAAAATCTGGATCACCCCCTCCAGTGCACCTGGTCGAGAGAGAGTGAGTGACACACAGGCTTTAGCAGCTCTCTGTCCTCGGCCTCCTATTACCCCATCTGCTCTCTGAGCGGGCATTAACACAAAGCCATCACTAACTGGGTGGGAAAGGACTAAATAACTAAATATTTGATTTATCACTGTCGTGCGAATGGAATAAAAATATTATTAGAGGCTTACTTAAGAACTCACGTTTAGGTCATAAAAGAGTTCCTTATTTCATGGGAAAAGCGCGACGGCGCCCCACAAAATGTGACGTTTTACAAATTTCCAAGAATGCTTTCTTCTGATTAAAATTAAGCGAAGATTTTTCAGATGTGTGAATGCTGTCACTGGCCCCATTGTGTGCGTGCCGCTTTTAGGGGTCAGGGGTCAGAGGGTGGTCAGTAGTTTGGACAGCTTGATGAAGCTGAGGGGAGAGAGAGGCCTGCTGTTCCCACAGCAGGAGCGCTCAGAGCTGGGCAGGGACAGTGGGCAGGTCCCTGGGGGCCATGCTGAGAAATGGGTTCCACTCACCAAATAGCAAACACAAGGACAGACTGCAGAAATATGGGGGTTCTTGAGTGTACA